AAGATATCTGTTATAGTATAACAAAATGTATTCAAATAAGTATAAAACAAGGGCATTCACAATGCCTCAAATTCCTATTTCTAACTAGATATTCCAAAAATTTCACTTCTAACATCTTTTTCACATTCTAAGAATTACCCTTGTACTATTCTAGCACATCATATCAAAGCAGCAGAAATAAGTAATTCATTCAATATTTTCTCTTGTCTCTTCCTAATCAACATAACAAATGTTGCCAAAATAATATGCAGAATTGATTATCCTTAGCTACTCCCCTTCAAACGTTTGCCTTCCTTAAGGAAAATCATTTAGACATCCAAAATAGATTATCAACAGATTCTTATAATAATATCATATTAATTCGGCACTTTTCAATGACCCATTTTAAATAGACTATCAGCAGATTCTTATAATAATACTTTTAAATTTAGTGCGTTTGGGTGCACATTTGCAAAATGATTTCAAATGAAAATGATTATGTAAAATTGATTTTAGTTAGAAATGATTGAGGTAAAGCTGTTTATGTTTTGGTGCTTTTATTCTTAAACCGAGTCAGTAGTATATAACTCGGTATAAAATTTTTAATCCAACACAAAAGTTGTTTAAAAATATTTCAATATCATTTTGAAAAAAATTGTCTTATTAGAATAAACTTCTCTACAATTTTACAAACAATTTTTAGAGAAGAAAAAGATAAGGTAAAATACATTTAGCTAAGCTAAATTAGTACCTTAGCTTTTGGAGTATCTAACTGATCAAAAAAATTATAAAAACTAAGTGCATAAGTTAATAAATTAAATTTAGCTTCCGTTTCTTACTTCATCCCTTGTAAGAAAAAGTTTATCAGTTGCATCCATTTAAAAAATAAAAATAAAAAAAAAAGGAACTGACATGGATTTCACGATCTTCACAATCTTTATCCAAGTACATGACATTAGAGTCCTTTGTATCGGAAACATTCCCATCCTCGTCCACTTTAGCCTCGCCCAGCATCGACAGGCACTGATCCCACTCCTTCAACTCCTCCTTCAATTCCACCACGTCATTAGCAAACAGCAATAACAGTTAATCAATCAATTAGCAAATTAATCAACTAGATTGGGGGCGGTACGAGGCACTTGGCGGCGAGGTAGCGGAAGCGGAGGTCGCTGAGGACGATTTTGGAGGCGTTGAGGAGGTGGAAGGCGCGGCGGTAGTGGCGGCCGAGGAAGAGCGCCTGCGCCTGCATGTAGATGTCGGCGGGGTCCGCGGTGAAGGCGGCGACCTTGTCGGCGAAGAAGATGGCGGAGGAGTAGAGGTGCTTGCTCACGCAGTCACGCACCACTCCTCGAAGCTTCTCGATCTCTTCCTCCCTCATCTTCGTTCCAACTCGGAACTCGGAACTCGGAACTCGGAACTCGGAACTCGTTCTGTCTGTGAATTCACTGCTAGGGTTTGTGTTCTTCGTTTCTTTTTTCTTCTCTTTGTGGTGCGGATGCCAAATTGAAATAGCGAAGGGAGGGAAGGTTTTTTATTTTCTATTTTCAAAATAATCTGCTATTTGTTTTGTTACTGTTTAGGGACTTATGTATCATCGATCCGTTGTAGTCTAGTTGGTTAGGATACTCGGCTCTCACCCGAGAGACCCGGGTTCAAGTCCCGGCAACGGAATTTTTTATACTCTGATTAATGAGTACGAAACTGGTGTCTTATTGTGTTTGGTATAAAATGCAAGCATAGGGAACAAAGTTTTGGTTTTGCGTGAAAATATATGAAAAAAAATTTGTCAATGTAAAAAAATGATAATTGAGTTTTATTAAGGGTGCTCATATGTAGGTACTCATTTATCTAACTCCGAAATTTGGGGTGGATATTTTTAGTGTTTGGGTAACACTCAACTCAATTTAATTATATCTTTTTTTTTTTTGTTTCAAAATAATATTTTAGTGTTGAAAATTCAATGCAACCAATTAAATAATTTTTAAATTTTAATTTAATATATATGTATAGTATAAAAAAATGGTTATATATTTAAAAATTAAAAATTAAAAATATAAGTGATACTACAATGTGTACATAGCCATTTAGGCTTCCTAGTTCACTCATTTCAATAGTCTAATTCTAATCCAACTCTTTCATATTTATTACTCTTCTTTCTTTTTTGTCCAATTTTCTAATCAAACTCTACCCCACAATTTAAGCCCTAAAAGTGATTCAAAGTTTAATAAGAGTTTGGACCTTTTTCCCTCAAGTAATTCCTTTTAAACTTGACCCTTAAGCATGATTTTATCATTTTTTATTTATCACCTCTCATTTCTCATCAACCAAACTTCCAATCTCATTTTCACTCTTTCTTTTCTATTTCTCACTCATTTCTTACCAACCAAACACATCCATAATGATAAAAGACAATAGAAAAACAATCCACAAAAACCAACCTTTTTACTAATACTAATTATATGAATTGATAAGTCTTATGATTTCATAATTTTTAATAAATTGACTTAATAATAGATTGCGAATTTGTTAAAAATAATAGGTTACAAAATAGAAAATAATTTCTAAATGCGTTACAAGTATATTTTTTCCCCTTACATTGTTAATTGATTAAAAATAATGTTAAAGATAACTTTTAAATTAGTTATTATTAATAAATTAAAGTTAATAAACTTACAACACATAGCAATTTTTTTTATTAGATAATAGTATAATTTTTTATTATTACAATATAAAAAAAATTTACATGTTACAGTATTACAAGTGTGAAAAAAGCTTTATACAAAGAGAGTTTAGGTCGGATGTAATCCACTTGACATAGAAAGTGACGCAATGATAAACTTGTATATATAACTACATTTTCTATATTGGGTGTTGATTAACTCATCACTTTGCGGTTGAACCTAACTTGTCCATAACAAGTGTTTTGACCTTATATTTTTTTTTTGTTCATTTGGTACTTGTTCTTACCAAAATTTGTAAGTACTCCAACGACGATATAATGTTCTTGTTGTTCCAATATTCATGATGGTGGGAGCACTTGCAAAGATAATCTAACGCTCAAAATAGAAGAAAATTTAAGTTAAAAATGAGATTAGAGATTTTGTGATAATTAACCTAGTTTAATAGTGTTGCACGAGTTTTTAGGAGATAATTTTGCATTTATTTATTAATATGTTATCATTGTGTGAGGTGCTTAATGACATAGATATATCACCTTTGTCACTCTTTAATATGTATTTTAAAATTCCTAAATATATGATGTCAAATTATTCCTTAACTAGCATCTGGGTGATGACAAACTCAACTTAGTGGAGTAAAGTTTATAGAGAGTTTGACTTGATCTACCCAATTTGGATAGTAAATTCCTATATTTTTAGTCCTTACCACACCAATTCCTATAAAATTATACATGTTCAACTTAAATACCTTTTATATTATTATTTAGAATGTATCATATAATTTACAATTTTTACTTAACCACGTCATTGTTTAATGGAGAATTCTAATGGGAGGAACCAAAATAAAATAAGAGCAAATGATAAAAATAATAATTTTGAAAAATCAAAATAAAAAAATGTAATTTTATAAGAGCTAAAAAGTATTTATTATAAAAAAATTGTCATGTAATGATAGACACTCTTTAATAATATAAATATTTATTATTAAAATATATTTTTACCTACACTATAAATATAATATGTTAGTATATTGTTAAAATTGTAGGTATGGACTTAGTGACAAATAATATATGTTGTTGAATTTCACTCAAAATTCATTAAAATTATGTGTAACTATATGTCAAATAAATTTATACTTACATATATTATATTTATAATGATAATTTTTATATCATTTGTAATATATTTTGTAATATATATATATATATATATATATATATA